AAATGTCGTCCCTTCTTTTCTCCAATAAACCAACTCACGGAAAGCATAGCTAACTTTCTTTCTTATTCTATTTACAAAACATGACGCTAACGACATTGCTGATCCTAGCAGTATGCTGGACGTGTGTCATATATGAGCTTCGTAAAGGGCATTGCTTACCATGGAGTCTCTGTGGCTCACTGGTAAAGCATCGGAGCGCGGAATCCGAAGGTTTGAGGTTCGATTCCTCATGGGAAATTTTTTCTTTGTCCTACAATTGTGACTAGACGAAAAACACCTTTCTCTTTTTCTTTACCGATCTTAAAACTAACCATCTTTTTACTCTATTTACAAGGTTTTTTTTTTCAGTACAAAGTAACCAACTGTCGAAGTAACCGTACAATATCGAGGGTAATTTGTACTCGTTGCGCGCGTTATTTCTTTTTGATATTCCATGTAGTGCTGTTGGATTAAAAAAACTGCCTTTACTTCGTTTGTCTGGTGTGCAGGAAAATAAGGCTTTAACACCAATGAACCATCGTAGTTCACGTCTTGCATATTATCAATGTGTCCCTTTCGTCTTTTCTTTCTAGATCGAGAGGTCGTACTTCGTCAAATGCTCTCAAGTAGGATCGCGGACTGTAACAGCAAAGGTATAATACTTAAGTAAGCTATAATTGCACCTTTAATCACAATTCTTTGGGCGTCTATTTAGAGACCTCAAGTCAAATTGTCGTGCAATAGGTAGCCTGCAGAAGAGGCGTTTTTAAGGCGAACGAGGATTAGAAAAAGGGGAGGAGTGCCCTATTTTTCCCCGCCTTTCCCTCGTACGTCACTTCCGCTTGCCTCCGTTCGCCCTATTGTGCATGTTCTGCGGGTTATGCGTTTCCGTTCAGTACGTAGTTAATAGATCTCTATACAATACCTTTAGATACGTAATATTTTTGTATGTTCTTACCCTCTTAGGATCGAGTTTCAAGTTAAGATATCTTGCATTCTTTGAAAAGATTCCTATCAATGCTTAATCCTAGTCATTTGCTTATTTTTTTATTTTTTTTTTTTTAATGCAGATCATCTATACTGTAGATGTCCAAGTAGAACCAAATTCTTCGCCAGTCACCTGTACCTGTGCTAAGGTGAGATCACTCTTTTGTGTCTTAAAAGTAAAAGTAAAACTACCTTTCAGTATTTCCACATTTAATTTTAATTCTCGTTCGCTTTGTAATGTAGTTGCACTTGTGAATGTGAGTTGCACTTGTAAAATGGAGCGCTTTTCGGTTGACTGTCATAAAACCAAAACCAAAGCAATCACAACGGCTAATCAGAAGAAAGGAAAATAACTGAAAGAGCCAATGAGAACTCAAAAGAAAAACAACAATACCCAAAGGGCGGGAAAACGTGGCTTTAGTATTGCATCTGATTGGTTTAGAAAGTGGCGCGAGTTTTCTGGATCAATGATAGAACGCAAGTAATCTCAGATTTCTTTCGACGCGCAATTAAAAAATCCTCTACCTGGTGAATACAAAATCACGACGACTTTTTGCTTTTTTCTTTCTCTACTGTCCTGATTTATACCCGCCCTAGGAGGAAAGTGTTGTTATCAAGACTGTTATGCCATTTGAAATCTCTTTGTCTCTGACAGGTAAGGGAAAATAGGCAATATTTTTTACGATGTAATTTTACGTCTCTTGGAATCGATCAAACTTGCTTTTTTGGCTATGTTAGCAAACTTGCTCTCGCTCTTGTCTCAAATTTTTTTATTACATTGAAAGTTATGGCATAAATTAATGCATCTATAAATCCGTCAAAAGTTTTTGATCGCTGCATAACTCTACGAATATAAACCTGGTCTGGTGCATCAAGAAACACTTTCTGACTAACACGCATCTGAATGAGGGTGCTGTGGTTTGAATTGATGATTAGCGTTAAGTTGTCTTTTACCACGCGATGAAAATTCAATTATAAGGTTCCTATACAAAGTAACGCAGTGTCTAGGCTAGTAAATGGGGACCTCAGGCAGTCAGGAAGGCAACACCGCAGTAAACGATGGTTTAAAAATGAATTTATAATTTCGCGAATGGCTAAATGCGTTTACTGCTTCTTGTAGCGCCACACGTCAACCGCAACTTAACGTATGGCGCTTAGATAGTTTGCCATCGGGTTTTCCGTTCACAGACCACACAAATTTGG